CCCAGGGATCAGTGCTGGGGCCAGTTCTGTTTAGTATCTTCATCAGTGATCTGGACGAGGGGATCGAGTGCACCCTCAGTAGGTTTGCAGATGACACCAAGCTGGCCAGGAGTGTTGATCTGCTGGAGGGTAGGAAGGCCCTACAGAGGGATCTGGACAGGCTGATTCAATGGGCCAAAGCCAACTGTATGAGGCTCAACAAGGCTCAGTGCTGGGTCCTGCACTTGGGTCACAACAACCCCATGCAAGGCTACAGGCTTGGGGAGGAGTGGCTGGAGAGCTGCCTGCTGGAAAAGGACGTGGGGGTGTTGGTTGACAGCCGCCTGAACATGAGCCAGCAGTGTGCTCAGGTGGCCAAGAAGGCCAATAGCACCCTGGCTTGTATCAGGAATAGTGTGGCCAGCAGGACCAGGGAGGCGATAGTGCCCCTGTACTCAGCACTGGTGAGGCCGCACCTCGAGTACTGTGTTCAGTTTTGGGCCCCTCAAGACAAGAAGGACATCGAGGTGCTGGAGCGTGTCCAAAGAAGGGCAACGAAGCTGGTGAAGGGTCTGGAGCACTTATGGGGAGAGGCTGAGGGAGCTGGGGTTGTTTAGTCTGGAAAAGAGGAGGCTGAGGGGAGATGTTACTGCCCTCTACAACCACCTGAAAGGAGGTTGTAGCGAGGTGGGGGTCAGTCTCTTCTCCCAAGTAACAAGCGATAGGAAGAGGAGGAAATGGCCTCAAGTTGTGCCAGGTGCAGGTTTAAGTTGGATATTAGGAAAAACTTCTTCACTGAAAGGGTAGTCAGGCACTGGACCAGGCTGCCCAGGGGAGTGGTTGAGTCCCCATCCCTGGAGGTATTTAAAAGACGGGTAGACGCGGCACTTAGGGACATGGTTTAGTGGTGGACTTGGCAGCACTAGGTTAACAGTTGGACTCGATGATCTTAAAGGTCTTTTCCAACCTAAACGATTCTATGATTCATGTGATGCATCCTGCCAACACCCTCTCTAACAACAGGCAGCCTGAGCAAAAATGTTGAAGGGGAGGGAGATGGGCTGTATTACACAAGCCCCTTAGAGGCTTCTTGTTTTATACAGGACACTAGCAAAGCAAGGCACAAGCTCAGCCTTTCTCTGGAGAGAGTGCACACATTCAGACATGAATGTAGGTGGGTATAACAAAAGGTCAACATGGGTGGAACTTTCTGGGGACTGGTGTGTACAATTTTAGGAAATCTCCACTCAACATTTTTAACCCTTTTTCTCTTCACGTCACATTTTCATGAAGATGGAAAAACATATCCCTGAAACTAAAGCAATTTACTTGCCAAATTTGAAAGCTGTTTTTCCAAACTAGAGAGATGATAGAGGCTGTTCAGTGAAATGGTTATGTTTATAATGGACAAAACCGTGTATTCTCCCCTAAATTCATCCTTGTAGTTGGCTCAATTCTTGTAAATGGGACTTTCCAAAAACAAAGCAAAGGAATCATAATACAAAACAAAACAATCAAAACAAGCTAAAATAAAACAGCTGGAAGCAGACACCCAACAGAGGGAATTTCAGCTCAGACTGGCAGTTATGAACAACTGAAAAGGCAAATAGAAAGCGCTTTGCAACATTAACACTAGCTTTGCTGCTAGCTCTGTTGTACCTCATTGTTAGGACTGAAGGGTTTGATTTATCATGCTACCAACAAACTAATTCAATGAATTCTCCTCCCATTAAAACCCTCCCACAGGAGACTACCTGTGCTGTAAAATACAGTAACCATTTCACATCAGACAATAGTTTAAGTAACAGCTTAGGGAAAACAATACCAAATACTTTTCATAATTGAAAATGGAAGGGAACATAGCAAGCAGCATATAATTACGTGAAGTTAAGTTTAGCCCAGACTTCAGGGTTATCCAGTCTACTTTGGTGAGGAGAATCATTGAATCAGTAACCACAACTGGTCTTTACCCTAGAGGTGCCAAAAAACACTGTATTTGTTCCACTTTGGAGCCCCCTCAAATAGAATTGCATGGTTTTGCTCCGTTTAATCCACTGTTTATTTTACTGTGCTTTTCAAGAGTTGCAAGTTTCAGAATACTTCATCAAGAAATCCAAGATTTCTGGATTTCAGCTTATAAATCTGCTTTTGGTTTGCATTTTGGAGCCGTCCTGCCCTCAAGTGTCCTCTGTTTGTTTTCCAAAGTTGCTGTACCTTCAGTCTTCCTTCCCACAGACACTGGTGAGATAAGG